CCACAGTAGAGACCAACACTGAGTTTAATTATATTGCATCATTCCCTGAAATAACCACCCAGCAACCTGGTGGCAGGTTAAGTACATTGGACTGCTTCCACTACAAAAGGTCGACATTTTATTCTAACTTGGATAGACACTTTGATATGGATTTTATATTCCTGCACACATTACTTCTACAAAAATTACCATCCATAGGCATACACATCCTTATCCACTGCTATGGTATCCTACACAGAATTGTCTTGGATCAGGAACTTACATCACAGCAAATAAAGTGCAGCAATGGGACTATGCCAATGCAGTTCCCAGGTTTTAATATATTTCCCAACATCCTGAAGCAAATTGCTTCTTTGGACAATGAATTGGTCTTATCAGAGAACGTAATGCTGGTTTGGAGCATATACATCCTCCTGATGCACATTGCCCAAGTTCTATAAGATTTTTGTTTGTTGTTAGGGGCTGTTGAGTCAAGTATAACTCATCGCAAGCCTGTGAACAACAGGTCTGCACCTTCTCCTATCCTATACCATCCACATCATCTCTGACATGCTTGAGCCCATCTCATTTGTGGATCTTTCTCTCTAGCCAGTGCCATAAGCCTGTCTTCCAGAAGCCATTTTATCATTCTATCAAATGTCCACGTGTCCTGACCTTCTCTGTCTTAAGGAGCCTGAGTACTTTCTCTATATTAAGGAGCATAGGTACCTGGATCCAAACACATTCCACTCCTGGTGAGTCTTTCTTTTTTTTTAAAAAAAAATAATTTTTATTTATTTATTTTATGTGTGTACCATCAAATTGGATCTGACTGGTACAGGAGGCGATTGTTCCTCCTTCTTCAGCAGGGCATCTGGTGGATTTGAACCATGAACTTCTGAGATTGCAGTGCAATTTCCTGCCACTAGGCCACCAGAGCTCACCTGGTAAGTCTTTCTTGATGATCCTGAGTTACCCCTTCACTTTCTGCTTGCTTTCTTGTTTTTCCTCTTGTGTGGTAAAAGATCTCAGAGCCTAGAGACGTTCCTCTCGTAACTCTTAGCTTATCAGATTATGAAGAATAACATCCACATTAAATCATTATATACATTGATTTTTGGAGAACACACTTTAATCCACAGCTCAAGGCTCAAGGAGTTGTAAAAGCTGGCAAGTCCCAAATCAGTGGCTAAGACATCACAATCGAAGACTTCTCCTGATTCATGAAAGGCTGATGAAACTCACGTCAGCAGGTAAACCCCAAACCTACAGGCTGCTGGCTCAAGGAGCTATTGATTCAAAGAGTTGCAGGAGATAATAAATCCCAAAGTCTGAAACTCAGATGACAAAGCATCCAACTATAACTCATAGCGAACCTATGAACACAGATCTGAATCTTGTCCTATCTTGCACAATCCTTACCATCTCAAATATGCTCAAGTCCATTGTATAATTACTATGTCAACCCATCTTGTTGGGGGTCTTCCTCTCTATTTCTGACTTTCCATCTTTCCCAGCATGATAGGCTTTCCTAAGGACTGGTCCTTTCTGACAACATGCCTGAAGTATGTGAGATGAAGTTTCACCATTTTTGCCTCTAAGTACCCTGGCTGCTCTTTCTCCAAAACAGACTTGTTTGTTCTTTTGCAGTCCATTCCGTATTCTTTACAACACCACAACTAAAAGGCATCAATTCTTCTGTCTTCCTTATCTATTGTCCATTTTCCAGATGCACAGGAAGCGAATGAAAAGGACATGGCTTGGATCAGGTGCACTTTAGTCTTTTAAGTGACACTTTTGCTCTTGAGGATTTTGGAGAGGTCCTTGACAGCAGATTTTTGAAACACAACACTTCTTTTGATTTCTTTAGTACTGTTACAACGGATATTGATTGTGGATCCAAGTAAAATTAAATAATTGACAATTTCAAACTTTTACCCATCTATCATGATGTTGCCTATTGGTCCAGTGGTGAGGGGTTTTGTTTTCTTGATGTTGAGATATAATCCATATCAAAGGCTGTAGACTTTGATCTTCTGTAGCAAATATTTCAAGTCCTCTTCATTTTCAGGAAGTAAGGTTGTGTCATCTACATAAGGCAGGTTATTGATGAGTCTTCCTTCAATCTTGATGTCACATTCTTCTAGCTTCTTGAATCTTTTAGCTTCTTGTTCAGCATAGAGATTGAATAGGTCTGAAGGATACAGCTCTGACACATATCTTTCCTAATTCTAAACCACCAGTCTTTCTTTTTGTACAACTAATTCTTGATCTGAATATAGGGTTGTTGTGGTTGTTTTAAGCACAAAAAGCTTTTATTGTGGTTCTCAGTTCTTGGGAGCTGTTCTCCAGCCCAGGCCGAAGAGAGAAGTAGAGACAGAGAGACAGGCTGGCAGAATGGATCAGAGAAGTTAGCATGTGGTGTGAAGAAGAAGTGGCCGTTTAAAAGACTCAGAGGATGGGGCCATCTCATGGCAGAAGAAATAGTCACATAGCTTGCGGATTGGCTACAGCTGCTGGCACTACTGGTTGGATATAGGTTTTACATAAGAACAATTAAATGTTCTGAGATTCCCATTCTTCTCAATGTTAACAATAATTTGTTATGGGTCATGCAATCAAATGCCTTTGTATGTTAATAAAATACAGATAAACATTTGTCTGGTATTCCCTGCTTTCAGTCAAGATAGATCAGACATCTGCAATGATATCCCTCATGCCATGACATCTAGTGAATCCAGCCTGAATTTCTGGTTGTTGTCTGTTGCTATACTATTGTGACAAATTTGAAATAATCTTCAGCAAAATTATACATGTATGATAGAAATGATATTGTTCAATAATTTCCACACTCTACGGGGACACAGCTTTTAGAGATAGCAACAAATATGTATCTTTTCCAGTCAGTTGGCCTGATGGCTGGCTTTCAAATTTCTTCGCATAGATTAGAAACATCAGAGATGGATTTATTCCACTCTAAGCCTGCTATGAGATGGTCTCATAGATTAGTGCATAATGTTTTGGGCTGCTCATGAAAAGATGGACCGCCTCCTCGTGTAAACAGCCTCAGAAACCCAAAAGACTTAATTACAAGCCAGCATTGAGTCAACAGCAGTGGGTGGTGGGTAAGCTAGTTCTGAGTTGAAAATCAATCCACAGTACTTAACAACAACAACCACGAATTCATAGAAATGTTTTCCTCAACATTATTTTCTAAAAATATGTTAATATTTTCCTAAAACCTACCTAGCCAAATGCTTCCTTTCTAAGCATTTTATCATGAGCTTCGAAGAGTTGGCAGCTCAATTTTCAACTATAAACAAAGCCTGTTGTTGTTGTGTACTGTCAGTGAGTCGGAATCAAGCCATAGCTGACACTTCAGTGGGTTTTCAAAGGCAGTTAATCACCCGAGAGGAGATTGCTCATCCTCCCGTGGGACAGCTTATGGCCTCAAACTATGTGTCTTTGAGATTGCAGCGTGGCTTCTTGCCACTAGGCTACCAGAGCTCCTTAAAGAAGCCTACTTGTCGTAAATTTTGTCAAGACAGAATTCTACTAGCAAATCTCTTAGCAAATTGTGCCAAACATATTGCCTTCTGTTTGTGGAAAGACACAACCTATTAACTGTAAGGCATAAATACTAAACTTAAAATAAAATAATCCAAGAGGAAACACCCAGGGCAAAATAGAAACTTCCAAAAATGGTAAATAACAAAGCCCACACAGTTGGTGTATCTTTCATGGACTTGCCACATTGAAAGTTCCTAGTAAAGGGGAACAGCATGGCTCTGGATCTATGTGCACAGTCTCTCCTATTACCTAATGAAATGTGGACACACACATCACAATCAGATCACTTCTTGCACGAAGAAAAAGAAACAGTACCATGACATCATCCACAGCCAATCAAAGCACAGCTTTGATGGCAAAGGAAGCATTGGGAGAATCCTTTTACAACTGAGAATTAGAGTGAGGACACAATATGTTTGATAAGCTGTCCTGACACATGCTCGGCTGCTTTGAACTGTATTTCTAAAATACCATTTGTTGGTGGTGCCTTTCAAACTGCCAAGTGAGGTCAGCCATACGTCACATTCCACAAGAGGAGCAATCGTGGTGACAAGCCCAAGGTGACCAGGCACAACCTTTGTCCACCGTTCCATCACATGGCTCTATAATAAATATTAGTCATCCAGTGTACACATAGCATGTGGGAAGACTTCCCCTGAAAGCAAAACTCTTGCCCAGAGGTCAGAGTCCGCCCTTCATTTCAGCAGATCCCTTATCAGATTCTCTGTCTTTACTGTGGAAAACCACAGCTTTTTTCATTAAGTAGAAGAGCAAAGAACAGTGATGTTGGTGCCTGCTTAATCACAATCATTTTCAAGTTCTCCTTTTTTAATTCTGAATCTCAAACACTTCCCCATCTCTTGACTTTGATTAAACCGCTCTTGCATTTTCATGTTTTGCTCTCGCCCTTATCTTGCCTCCCCTAAGTTAATGTGGAACATTCTGCATGATCTCACCGCATGGCTTCATTCACTAGAGTTATTGCAAAACCATAAGGCACTGCTCTTGAACTTAGAGGCACAGGCACATTTTATCAAGCTGTATCTTTTCTGTTCTTTTTGAGAACATAACCTTCTCACAACACAGGATTGTTGATCCTTTTAACAGGGCTTAGCAACAGCCAAAATAGCTTCATAATAGGTGATACTCAGCATTAATAAATTTCTAAAAAATACTGCATGATTTAATTGGCTGTTTTTGTTTTAAAATGTTTAACACTGTATAGTTCTTTGGCGTTTGTTCTTGAAATTAAAATAGTCTGGGTTTTTTTGTTGATTTTGGGTTTGTGTTTTTTGTTTGTTTGTTTAGAAATCCTCAGTATTACAGGAAGCATCACATTCTGCCTACATCTATTTGAAAAAAATAAAAGAAAAGAATATTAGGGAGAGAGGGTGGGTATAAAGAACTGACATTAAATACCTACTTTGGCTTCTCCCGGAGCCATGGCGCAGGAGGGAGGCCGAGATGGCAGATGAGATCGCCAAGGCTCAGACCTCCCGGCCTGGTGGCGATACAATCTTCGGGAAGATAATCCGGAAAGAAATCCCAGCCAAAATCATTTTTGAGGATGAGCGGTGCCTCGCTTTTCATGACATTTCACCTCAAGCACCAATACGTTTTCTGGTCATACCTAAGAAACCTATTACCCAGATTTCTGTAGCAGAAGATGATGATGAAAGCCTTCTTGGACATCTCATGATTGTTGGCAAGAAATGTGCTGCTGATCTGGGCCTGCAAAAGGGTTATCGAATGGTGGTGAATGAAGGTTCAGATAGGGGGCAGTCTGTTTATCACGTTCATCTCCATGTTCTTGGAGGCCGGCAGATGCATTGGCCTCCTGGTTAATTTTGCTTTAGGATTATTTTCCCTTCTTTAAACAACTGTCAGATTTGAAAGGTCGAATATGTTAAGCAGTACACTGACTAGTGCCTGTGTACAGAGAGATTAAGGAAATAATTTGAAAAACAGTTGCATAATAAAAGACTTGGTTGCATGGTTAAAAAAATACCCTACTTTGGATTTACAGAGAAAAAGAATACATTTTATTCTTATAGCATTTTTAGTGTTCATTTGAGTTAAGATTTGCAAAGAAATTAATTTTTAATTTAATCATTCATACGCATTTTGTTCTATAACTTTAATTTTTATACTTACAATGTAATCGCACTTTCCCCACTTTCTCCCTGTAACTCTCATTTCCAATAGTCCTCCTATTTTGCTGATGAACCCTTTATTGAATAATACATGCCATCTTAATACATAGGTAATCATCTGGTGGCTTGGTGGCAAGAAGCTGCACTGCAGTCCCAAAGAAAAGTGGTTTGAGGCCACCAGCTTCTCCATGGGAAAAGGAAGATTAATCTCCTCCAGTGCTGTTAACTGCCTCTGAAAATCTGTCGGAGGGTCAGCTATGGACTGGTTCCTACTCCAAAGTACCTGACAGCAATACATACCTATTATCTATTTGCTAATTTTTACTCCTTTTTCCCTCACTTCCAAACCCTAGTAACCATCCAAGAATGATTCCATGTACTTTTCCTCAGCTTTTTGTAACAGTTGTCTTACTGTATATTTGTCCTTTTGTGAATGACTTATTTCACTTGGTATAAAGCCCAGTCAATGTCTCCATGATTTCAAGATGCATCCAGCACTTCAAGAATTCTTTAATGTTTTTTAGTGTTGCCTAGAACTCCATTCTACTCTATGCAGTGCAAGCAAAATGGTTTTTCTGATTCATTAGCTTTGATTTCTATCACATGTCTATGTGGGAATAAGCAAATCAGGTAAGTAAATTATTCATGAGACGATTGGTTAGTTTTGCCATCCAACCAGGTTTAAATGAAGCAAGGTTATCAGAAGAAGATGGGAATCTCACTACTAGTAAGGAAAAAGAAGGGAAGAATGCAGCACACATCCTTCAGAGTCAGATGCTCTTGGACCTGCCAGACCAGGAACAACAGCCACTGTGGACATGAGACAGAGCTGGGTTGGGACAGTTGCTTCACTGAGTCTGAGCCAGGACTTTTGTCCAATGACATATTGCCCAAGCTTACTGCACAACTAGAGGGTGATGACATAAGTAGATGGACTAAGAGAATTTTAATGAGTCTTTCTCTAATCTTGATCCTACTTTCTTCTGCATATTTTTCAGCTTCTTTTTTTCTTTTTAAAATTTTTTAAATTTATTATTAATTTCAATGAAAATTTACAGAGACTTGGGATTTCCATTCATTCATTGTTGCACATTTCTTCCCTCCCAACCCTGCCCCCACCGCCAGTACACTACCCTCTTGGAAAAGTAAAAGAAAAATTTTTTCATTGTTTTACAAACCCTCTCCCAGGTCCAGTCCACTATGCAGCCTTCACTCTGGACTTCTGTCATGACAAAAATACCTAATCACATATCCCTTTTAAACAGTTTTC